CTCATAAAAAGAGTCGCTACGTGACTCGTACTGGTCAAACTTTCTTAAATTTGTTAAAAATATTAACAACATTGTATCTCAAAATAAATTTATTATAAAAATATAGTTAACGATCTATTCAATAATACTAATTATATATTATAAATATTAATATTTTATATATATTTAGTAAAAGTTAAAAATCTTGGACTTCTAGGAAAGGAGAATGACACTTCCTACCGAAGGGAGTGAGTATAAATTATTGTTTAGGGCGTCCTCTTGACTGGATGGATAGCCTTGGAGGGATTTTATATTGGATGGAAAAAAAAAAGTAGTCAAAGGACAGCCTATAGCCAGCCTGCACATTTTTCAAAAAGTTTCCAAAAAGTTACATTAAAGCCCGGTTCAGCTTTTAGAGCAAGTATAATAAAAGACTGTAGTTTCACTAAATGTCGAGATGGAGAGAGAGGAGAGAGAGAGAAGAGAAGCAGTCGAAAGTTTTACAACCGGCTTGACTTGGACACAAGAACTAAGAAAGTCGTGAGAGAGAGATAAGTGGGCCATGTATTAACTATAAAGAGCCAACTATTATATGAGTAAATTGAGAGATGGTGCAAGGAACCTTAAGTAAACCAAGAAGTCGGCTATATTATTAGCCTTGCTCTTATGCTTGATTGTTTTATGTTTATTGATTTTTACACCTCTGTCTCCAATAAATAGATTTCTAAAGTTATCTGAAGTAAAAATTTTAAAATTTGATCAAATTTTTAGAAAAATTAAGATTTATTTATATAAAATTAGTATTATCAAATATATCATAGAAAATATTTTTATAAGTACTCTTTTATGTCATAAATGTTGTTATTTTTTCTATAAAGTTAATAAAATTTTAAAAAATTTGATTGACACGGATTATAGAAATTAATTTATGTGAGAACTGATAGAGTATTCGTAGAGCTCAACGAGCTAGCGTCCTAGCGATTTCTTTTATGCCGTTGAGGAAGCTTGGTACTGGTACTGCCATTACTATCCGATGACTAGCGGTCGTGCTCCAAAACTGTGTCTACGATCCATGGATGGGGACCGGTGGCCTCCCGTGTCTCTCCACGTGGGCAGTCAGCTCCGTCTGTCAGTGACTCCAAGGAAACAGGGAGGAAAGAGAGCGTGCGCCGTGGTCTCCGAATTTTCTTGTAGCACGGGCGCGTGGGACGGAGTGGTGGGGGTCTACTGCTTGGATAAGGGCGCCGGCTTTTCCAATACAAGGCGCGCTGGTGTTTTTTTCATGACCAAAGAGGGCGCGGAATACGCCTCCCACGTGCACGCAGAAAGTGAGTGCGAGGCACCACTGTGGAGTCACGGGCTGCTTTCCCATGCATCCCCTCCTTGTACTCTTCACGAACCACGCTTCTACTTCTTTGAATACCATCCGCCGTTGGTCATGCAAAAGGCACCCGGGCTGGTTTCGCCTCGTCACCGCCTTTGCTCTGGTGGATTCTTGGCTGGGCGTGGGTGGCTCCCACGCCGGTGTTCGGTCCCTGGTTTGGCATTTGAATGGGCCTTTGCTTTATTTTCTTTGTGCAAGATCTGCTTTATGCTTTCTCTGATTCCGCATTTTGACTCTAATTCCATTGTATCCTAGTATGAGTGCTGCAAAATAGAAATCTTGCAATACAAGTGGAACTATATCAATAGTAAAGGCATATATGTCAAAAGACTATTTATTTCTCCTGTTTTGGACTATAATTGGCGGTCGGATTTGGTCGTTAGTGACCGCCAACAGTTGCTACTTGGGCGTGGCTGTGACAACCGCTCATCCGATGGGGTCATGCACAAGGCGTGACACAAGAAGACAAGATCCTCCGTGGCCTCCAGGAGATCGGGGTCTCGGGCCCACGCGTCAGCCCCTCGAGCCGACCTCCTTCACCACCTAGAAGCCTCTAGAAGGCGCACCTAGGGAAGGCCGAACTAAGCCCGACACAACTGACACTCGGCAGGTCAGACAGAAGCAGTGGACGACGCCTAGAGCTTCTTCGACTCCACGACATCGCCGCCACGGTCCATTGAGCGCTGCAAGACCCTCCTAGACTCTGCGCATGATGTAGACATAGGCTCAACCCCGCAAACCGCCATGTACCTGACCTATCTCTGTATATAAGCGATAGGTCGGATCCTAGAGGGGGGACGATCCAAAACAGATCATTCCATTCCTCACCGATCCGCTCCTGCTCGGCACCGAGAGCAGAGCAACCTAGAGAGGGGCATCGAGAGCTCCTCCACTGCACCCGTCGTCTTCTCCTCTCCGACGAGGGGAAGGCTCCACCGGCGGTGAGGCGACCTCAGGATTAGCACCAAGCTATCCCCCTACCAAATCTCTCTCTTTCTCTTACACAACTCTGTTGTAACCCCCCGATTTTGGGTGCTCTTGAGTATAAGGATCATCAGCTGCTGGACGTAGGGCATCGATTGGCCTGAACTAGGATAAACCATTGCATCCCCTCTGTGATTCTTGTATTCTTAAGTCCATCCGAGCCACCGGAGACACGTACTTTGACACCACCTCGAACAACAATGCTCAAGCGTTTCACGACCTCGCGACAAAGAAATAACGAGGAAGGAACAATTAGCTTGAGATGCATAATGGAACACATTTAGCTGTTGATGGGAGTTTGGTATATACTAGGCTTGAAAAAATATAATATCTGTGAGGTCTCTAGAACCCAAGGTTGTGGCTTATCATTTCTAGGTGGGCTCATGCGAGTTACTTGCAAAGACCAGATAATTATGAAAAGTATCTAGATTAATGGAGGATACGTAGTGATAGGAAACCTTATGGGTGGTGCAACCATGGAGAGAATTGGTGAAAAAACCCAATCAGGTGAAGGAAGTCATCATGTCAACAACAAGTACTCAAATCTCAATTGAGGTCAAGCGCAAGGCTGCAAAGACGGTTGCAAATCTATCAGTCATAGTAGTGAAGCTTGGAGTTGTTGCAAGAAGGAAGACGTGGTGATACCGACCATGCAGTACTAGTGAGCACGTGGAGCTCAGGGGGAGAGTACAAACTTAGAAGGTGGAGTGGCTAACCAAACTACACAATGAAGGAGCTCTCAACGCGGAAGGTTCAGACACTCCAACCTAGACACTGACACGCATATTGTGGCGATGTGCATGAGCCCCTATGGTGGGGCCACTCTCAAGGTAGAGTGTAAATAAATAAAAGAGAGCAGACTTGGAGCGAATTCTTGGAGGGCACGGTTACTTCAAAGGATTAGAGTCAAGTTAGTTGGAGATTGTTGTATGGTGACTCAAATGTTATTTGGACTAGGATTGAAGAGAAGTGTGTTATTAGGACTTCTAGTTATATTAGGACTTGACTGTAGAGCCCTATTAGGAATAGGAATCCTACATGTATGGGAGTTCTATTGCACTAGATCCTTGTATATGGCAAAAAACACTGGGGTCCTAGAGAGTCAAATAGCATAGTGGGAGGGCAAGAATCACTTGTACTCTTTTGGAGTTATGCTTATAGAATTTGAAGTCGACTTCGTTAAATCCAATCTCTTGTCATGGTTGCTTCAACATCGTCATCTAGAGTTTTCTACGAGGTTCATCTCGTTCTTAATATAGTGAAAGCTTGTGTCACACTATCCTTTTAAAGATCCAAAGCTACTGCGTATAGGTGTCAGATTCTAACATCTAGGAATACCGGTTGGCACAGGGTCCTGACCGTAGCCAATCTTGGAGATTGTATATGTGGCTTTGCTATCCCTACATAAGATGCGATGGATTTCGAGGGCGTTAAATTTTTCTTCAAGCTTGTGGATTTCCTAGCAATGCGCTTCTATCTTGATATCTCTGGCAAGTCGATTCCTTCATTATTTGATTGACTTTTTTTTCTCGAACAATTATTTGATTCACTACTAACTTGGAATCTTGTATGATGTAGAGGTGGCGGAGTGATATGACAATCAGTAGGCCGTGCAGCAAGGCCTCTAATGATTAATTAATAATCTGTTGCGGGCCTCAACTTTCAGATTCTCATTTCTTCAAGCGTGCCTCTCACCAACACAATTATCAAACGAAATCATCTTCACTTCAGAAATACAGATAGTACAGTGGAATAGTTTAGAAGAACATGATAGCACACTTGAAAGTGGAAAGAATGAATTTGGAGACGATGAAAAAGGCAGCATGATTCATAAGAGAGCATGACAAAGAAAGCGTCTAAATGCAAAGTATATTTCATGGATTGCAGCACAAGCCCAAACTAGCAGAAAAAACTTGGTCCACATCGACACCTTGTCCTCTTTATTTCACACATCAGGGAATATATAGTCATCTTCATTGTAGTCTGGCAAGCGAATATAGAAAATGACGAAAAATTACAAATGACTTGATCCACCTGCAAAACCAAAATGTCCATCACAACACAATCATGCCTCATCTTTTTATGGAAGTACCAGCAACATTTTTCTGTAGGGATGGCAATGAATGGTGCTTGCTTGATCACCAAGCAGTTTTTGTTGTCTCATGTCTTTAATTGCCGTTGCTGTTACTTGATGAGCACAGTAACATAAAGTGAACAAAAATGATTTTGTTTCAATCATACAGAGCACATTTCACAAACCCTTCCACGTTCCATACATTTAAAAATCACTTGCAGAACTGTGCACCTAAAAACAGTGAGATGAAAAGCAGATATGGTTGATTAAACCCCAAAAGACAGGAGACTCTTGACAATACCGATAAGGCGGTAAGTATCAAATGTAGAATAGTAGTTATTTATTTCAGATTTTCTTAAGATAGAATGCAACTTTTGTCCCGTTTTTTGAACAGATACTTATAGAGGCAGCCTTGTTTACGATACCCTTTTTGAACAGTAGAATGGCTAGACATTAGATGAGAAGGAAATGTGAAGGGCAGTAAAACATACCGCAATGGTGATCCGAAAAGGATCAGAATCTCTGTCATGTATATTCAAGATTCCACCGTGATGTTGCTAGCAATGGAAGATTCAGTCATCAATCCATTAGGTAGCATATGGGTTTCAGCTCCATTTTTATTTGCCCATGACTCTGCAGAACCTTGTATAGAAGCACCCTCAGTTGAATCAAGCGCATTAAGCAAAATAACTTTTGGTCTGTTGGGATGATTCGCAGCCGATCTTGCCAGTTTTGTATTGTAGTACTGTTGACCTCAACTCCAGCATCAAGAATTACTTCCCTCAGGTGTGTGAAGTAATTAATTTGTAGACCAGAAAGTCCATTTAGACCATCACAGAGCAGCTGAAGCGATTTGAGTATTGGCATAGCACCATGTTCCATTTTTGGGAGTGTTGGACTTTTCAGGACAAAACGTATGCAGACAAGAGATGGCAATGCATTGCGCTGGAGGACAAAATCATCAAGTTCGCCAGCGATTAGCTTCAGGTACTTTAAGTGTTCAAGAGTACCCAATGCTGTGAGAAGAGCTGCCTTCAGTTTAGTTGATTGAAGGCACAACTCCTTGAGACCACGCAGTCTGGTAACAAATCCGGGCAGTTCCTCTAACATACCATTTAGTTTCAACGACCTAAGATAGTATTGACCTTCCCAGCCTTTTAAAAGTCTTCTGAGCATGCGTCGAATTGGATTGACAGAGAACGACGGTCCTTTTTGCATCTTTCTCATCACGAATGAACTCTTGTATGGCCTTCTGAAGACTAGTCAGGCTAGTATTGGTCGCAGATGATTCGCACCAGATCTTGACGTTGTGCAATTTCTTCATACGACCCAAAAATGCATCATACCCTACGCGTTCGTCGATAATAAATCCTTTAACCATCTGCAACTTACATTGTTCTGAAGGTATAGCTTTGTCAGGAAGCTTAAACTTTCCAAAAAGATGAGTTAAATGGGGCAACTGGAAAACTTCCTTTGGCAGGATGTTTATCGCCGTTCTCCTTAGATCAAGTGTCTCCAAAAGTTTCAGATTTTCTATCTTCTTTGGAAGGCTGGTTACATGTACATCGCCCCCCAGGCTAAGATATTTAAGAAGCAGTAGGTTGCATACTTTTTTGACATGATGATTTTGCAAGTCAGTACATTCTTCAAGATCCAAGACTCTCAGCAGTTGGTACCTGTCAAAATTCAACATAGATCCTGCCTTCCCGAAGACTATCAGAGTTCTGACAAGAGATAGATCACTGTCCAAACTGCTACTATCTGATATACTGCTGTCTTGAAGAGAAAGGCAACGATGTTGTGTAGTTTGGAAATTCCCATTACTTTTAGAGTTCTGATAATTGCCATTATCACACAACATAATGAGGTTTTCAGAGAGAGATTTGAACATTACGTACTCATGCATCATGCCATATGTTCTGCATGTCTTCACTGTCTTGTTATTGCTAACCTCAATGGGATGGACAATGCTTCGATCCAGGAGCTCCTCGAAACATTTGTCAGCTGTATCACCCAATGAATTTTCTGGTTCTACAAACCCCTCAGCTAACCATTGCCTCATTATCCTTTGGGGCTTGACTCGATGATCACACTGGGAACATAGCAAAATATAGCAAGCAAGCTTTGATAGCACAGCTTGGTAAGCTGGTGTACTCATGCATAAGCGCCTGATGCACTCTGTCTAAGGAATCGTCGCTCCCCAGATGACAACGTAGCTGGTTGCAAATACCATCCCAGTCAGGTCCTTCCATCAAACTTCTTTTTCGCATGAATTTGCCTACAGTACTCAGTGCAAGCGGTTGACCATCACATATTTTCAATATTGCTTTTGAATCTGACAGTGAGGAATCCGAATATTGCTCCAGATCAGCTGCCTTTAGTAACAATTGCTTTGAGTGATCATCACTAAGTTTGCCCATATTGTACACGTAGTAGTTGGGAAGGCTGCAGAATTTAGCTACACCCTGGATTTTTGTTGTTACCACTATTGTGGTGTTAATATCTCGCGGGAAGGCGGTGATAGCATCCCACTGTTTTGTTGATTGCATGCCATCAATTACAATGAAGTACCTTTTTTTTTTTGAAACAGCGATAGCAAAAATATTAGAAAGCTATTCCACAACCAGCATAAGAATCACTATGTGGGGAAAAAGGTAAGACTTCTTATTGGACTGCATATATATAACATGTTTTGCTGGGCATTTGCATAACCTATATAATTGTATTTACAAGTAACAAAATAATGGATTTTTTTGGGTACGAATTAGCCATACATAGGTGCAGAGTAATCCATATTTTATATGCAATAGAAAAGTTGTGCACGATCATCACGTAAAAAAGTTTTATAGCTATCCTAGGGTGTAATACCGTGGCCTGCAATAGCAGTTGGCCCATGTAGCTAATGTGCAGGTGTAGTTGGTGGGTTTAATATCACACTTTGGAGATTTAGGTGAATAAGTGCTAACTTATAATCTTTATTATCGCTCCAAAGTTAACACCTCTATAATGACCCTTTACATAAAACGAGGGCCACGCAAGGAACTGTAAGCAAATTTTAGACACGGGGAATTAAATACATAATAGGGCTTCATATCAGACTTGATTGCTGCCATGGTGCAGGTTGACGGTGAGACCATTTGGCATATTTTTGAACTTCAAACTAAAATGCATTTTGTCTCTCAGCAAGTGTCCATTATGGAAAAGAATTGAATCATTATGTCATTTACAACTGTGATAAAACAAGTTCCATTCTGAACATATCCTGGACTTTCAGAAAATTTGTCAATTTTAATATGCTTCTAGAAACTACAACTAACCAAAATTATATATCTTTGAGATCCCTCTGTCTATTTATTTTCTAATAACACAGTACCCATATACTCCCTCTATCCCTCAGAAAACTATCTTACGGTTCAAAATTTGTCCTATAAAAATTGCCATTCTACCCACAAAACGGCTGTGGCCCCATATGAATTAATTTCTTCCTTCACATCTCCTTTTTTTTGTGGCGCCGAAGTGTGCATGGTGCCAACTAAGTGTCACCTGATTGTCGTTCTGGTTGATTATATTACCTAAGCGTCAAACAAAAGAAAAAGAAAAGTAAACTATGGCTAATAGACAGGGCACCCGAGGTCATATCGCCTCTTAGATAAACAGCTCTGTTCTTGCTTGCTCGTAAACGATCGTAAATTTCCAGCCGGGAAGCAGTGTCTTTCTCTCACACCAAACCAAGCCAGCGATAAATAATCCACGATACGATACGGCCTCCCGAGCAAAGCTAAAAGTGGGTGTTTTGTCACCGGCAACTATTGTATGCGTTGTGCAAGTAGCAAATCTAGATGAAGCACATAGGACACATGTTTATATTGGTTCAGTGAGAGAATGCTCTAGGTCTATTAGGATTGGTTTCTTAGTCCTATTACATTAAGGATCTCAATAGATAGTTGAAGGTATATGTCTATGCCATGTATAGCATGTCGGTCGAGATACCCCATGTACATGTAGGACTCGGGTAGTCAACTCTGCCCCAATCTATGTCTAGAGGGCTGGATATGTCCTCCATAGCCCCAGTGCCGGAGTGATCAAACTGAACTAGTCTTGATGTTGTCCCGACCTTAGCTATGTACTTTAGTCTCCTCCTTTGACAAGTATCCCGAGTTATGTCCTCCTAGGTGCCTCTCTTCATTACTTGCACAGAGGTCACAAGGGACTTAGCGAGTACAAGAAAAGATTAGTTGAGTAATATATGCTCATGGGGCGGGCATATTTCACTAAGTGAGCTAATATGGTTTAGTCAGAGTGGTATGTTCCAATGAGATGGTCACCTGGCTAGTGACCTAGCACGCTACCATTAATTTTGACTTAATTTGCATATGATGCCTATTTTCCCCAAGTCGTTCGAGGTTAGCTAGTGTCCTTGTGGAGGAATATATGCCCTCGTAATTTATGTTAGAACACGACAATAGTCTGAAATGTTTGTCCTGTATGGATCAAGTGACTAACTAGTGGCCCACTAATGGAATATTACAAATTTCCTTCACTTTGGGTGTATCCATGTGTTTGGGAACCCTGGTTGGTAGTCACCATCAAAACTTTAAGTCAAAACAGTAATCGAAGCTGAAGCATTGCACCACATGGTACTATTTGCCTTTTATAGGGGAGATGATGATGATTACCATTAAGCTTGGTGATAAGCCATGGTGAAAATCTTGTTATTGATTTGTTGTGAAAGAAAAATATTATTAGATTCATTTGAAAAAAAGTACGGCTTATAAGACAATTTAACAGGCCACAAATCATCTTCTTCTTGCCCATGCTCTTTCAACTTCTCTTGCTCTTCTTGCCCGTGTGTGGTTTCTAGCGTGAGCCCGAGTGCTTGACATTTGAGTGCTTCAATCTTGAGTGCTTTGAGTTTTCATTTCGCCGTGGGTGCTTCATGTCGTCAAGCCTCAAGTGTCGATTGCTCGAGGTATAGCCCCAAGGCTCTACCCAATTGATTGATTCAATTAGAGGGTCTTGTGGTTCTTGTAACTTTTCTATCATGGATATGGACAAAATGCACTCACTAGGTCTATCCACCAAGCTCCCGCTCAATTTTAGCATAATTAGATGGAGTGCCATTTAACTTTCGAGGTAGCTTATGACAATGAAAGTGTGAGGAATTTATGTATAAGCCTTTACTCTTCCAAAAGATAGTGAACCCTAAGTGATTCATGGTTATTGATCATCCCTCATAGGGTGCACGAATGTCCTTTAGCGCCGAGTCGAAAGTTGGCCCTCATGGAGGGTGACAAGCTGTCCTCCATTTGATGTGAGATCACAGGTCAGCCATAGGTGGCATGTCGAGTGGTTTCTTTGGCCAAATAGGTACCCGAACACTATGTTGGTGCAGAATTGACTAGTGGCCCTAGGGCATACCCAACTTGGTGAAGAGGTGGCGAGGTTCGATTAGCGGCGATGGTTGGCTAGAGGCTCAACATGGAGCATATCAAATGGCATACCTTTAGGTGGACCCTTGCTCAAAAATGAACCATTGAAGATCTTGGAGCTTTGTTGCTTGGATACTTTTTTGTTGATGAATGCACATGACTAGAGAAGGCCCTTCAATTAAGCACCCAAGTTGACTAGTCCGGTCCCCCATTTATAGGGAGGTTGCTTTGGGCTATGTCATGTGTAGCGTTAGGTGGCTAGAGTTTTACCGTTTGACAACACATGGTTTCACTACTCATGCACTCTCTCAAATTGAAGTGTATGAAACATGAGACACTATTGGATACTTATAGCATTCTAACTAAGTCAAAGTAGATACTGATTTCCCTTTCTAGGTTGTTCATTGTGTCATGCACTTTGAGCAAACTTGAGCTCCCATCGTAAGGAGCTACTTGTGGGTTGTGTCTTTGGGTTGCAGAGTAAGTCAGAGTCAGGAACAAAGACTCACACTCAGAGTGTCTGTCACTCAGAAAACATAAGCAGGTTTTATGTTTGTTTCTCTCTCCTTGATGTTGTTTTCCTTTTGTGAGTCATCCGTTGTATCATGCACTTTTGCCAACTCTACACTGTAGTCTTCATGACTAGATAATTAGTGTTTCAATTTAATTTATCCCAAATGACTTGCACCAACACCAAGTGTAACAATCATAATATGTATTCTAAAATGTTGTTGTATAGATTTGCATAATGAGATGAAAATGGTTGCTAGTGATAGCTGAGTAGTAGTGGGACTATCACAGATGGGAAAATAGTAGGGAGTTTCCTTCTAGAAATTCTTGTTTGTTTCAAAGGGCATTCAAATAGTAATAGTAAGATTCTAGTAGTTCAAACATAGTATTTGAACCAGCTTGGTTAAAAGTTCGGTAAGCCCAATCCATTGTTCTAAAGATGACATGAAGACAACTGTTGATATCTTGTCTTGCGCCTTGAAGGATTTTATCTGTACCTTATCTTGGTCTCCTCTCACAATTCACAAGCCTACCAAAGTTGATCTTCTTCCGCTGATTGATAAGGTGGCCGACTATCTCCCTAGTCGGAAGGCTTCTTTATTGAACAAGTCTGGTCGTTTCATCATGGTTAAAGTTGTCTTGATAGTAGTTCCCATCTATCATATGATCGCTATGGATTTACCTAAATGGATGATCAAGGCAATTGATAGATGGCATGAGGGGTTTCCTTGGCAGGGGTTGGGAGAAAGCAAATGATGGAAACTGTCTCGTGTCTTGGGAACATGTCCAACGCCCCCTACAATATGGTGGTCTTGGAATTCATAACCTAGAAACTCTAGGCTGTGCCCTCGGCATTTGGTGGCTTTGGGCACAAAAAACAGATACATCACGTTCTTGGACAAGTTTGCCAATCCAAGTGCCACAAAAGGCTAGAGCTCTCTTCAATGTCGTTGTAGAAACCATAGTGGCAATGGGGAATAGTTCTGGGGAATAGTACCAGGAGCCTTTGGGGTCAAGGCCTCCGCCAAGGAAGCGTGGCTGCCCTCAAGGCCATGCGTGTTGGGTCTGATCACACGAAGAAGCGCGGCGCAGCTGCGGTGGGAGTACGACAACTTGGCGTGCCCGCGATGGGGAGGCGGTGGAGATTTCTCCCTCCGCGCTGCGATTGATCGTCGATTAGCTAGCGGCGCACAGCGTCACCTTCGACGACAAGGAGGCGGTCTCCAAGCACTGCTGCGTCGTCCGCCTAAGTATACCAGATCGCTCTATCCATCGAGACGATGCTTGATATGTCAACCTCACCACTGAAAGAGCACTTGATTTGGCGCTTGCGGCGGTGGACGACCGCGCGACGAAGGGCGATCGTGACGTCGGATAGCGGCAAGCTAGTGCTGATCGAGGAAGAGTGGGTGCCCGGATCACGGGAGAAGCGGTCGAAGAAGGCACTTCATCCACGGCGGTGGATTTGCAAGCGCCACGGCAAGGCCTCGAAGAAGAAGAAGGTTGAGGCGCACCTTGCGCAGTGGACAACGACGAGCGGTATGCTGGCGGCGCGGCACACCGAGGAGAGCTGTGGCATGCCGGTTCAGCCATCTCAAACCCGGCACGCGCTTGGCTCGGTGGAGAAGATGGTGCGTGGGCTGCCCCACGCTCGAGCATGCTTACGCCAGTGACAACAGAATGACTGGCGGGGAAGCGAGGAGGTAGCCGTTTCAAAGCGCCAAGTATCCACGCTATTGGCCGCAGCGCGCTTGAGCTCGTCCATGGTGACCTCTGCGGGCCAATCACGCCCGGCCGCTACATGTGGCTGCAGCCCGACGAGCAAAAGCAGGCGGCGGCGGTGATCAAGCGGTTCTAGGCATGGGCTAAAGCGAAGGCGAGGACAAATCGCGGTGGCGAGTACACTTCGGTGGAATTTGCCGCGTACTATGCGCGGATCAAGGGGTGGTGTGCCACCACACCACGCCGCGTGCTCGCCACAAGACAACGGCTTGGTGGGCGGGCTGGCTTGACGGTGGTGGGCATGGCTCGGTCCATGATGAAGGCGAAGGCATGTTGCGGAGTTCTAGGGAGAGGCCGTGAAACGCGGCGGTGTTCATCCTCAACCGCTGCGGCCACCAAGAGCCCCAAAGGCATGACGCCGTTCGAGGCTTGGTTGAGAGGAAGCCCGACGTCTCCTTCCTCGAGACATTCAGGTGCATCGGTCATGTCAAGAAGACGGCCGAACCTCACTAAAGCCGGAAGATAGGAGCACTCCACGGTGCTCTCTTGGGCTATGAGGAGGGGCAAGGCCTCACCGTTCATATGATCCACGTGGAGGCAAGGTGGTGGTCTCGAAGGATGTCTTTGTCGATGAAATGGCGGCTGGGATTGGAAGGATCCCGAGACGCGGGAAGCCAATGCCGGTGTCGGCGGGACGTTCATCATTGATCACATGGTCATCCACGCAGCGGAGATCTTTGGAGCGGAGGAGCCACCGTGGACACGCCTTAAGTCCAAGAAATTGTGGTGGCGCCTAGTGAACCGCCAAGTCCGACCATGGTGGGCGCGGCGCGGCCGAGACTCCACCGGCAGCCACACGCGACGCCTCCACCACGGTCCCTAACGCAGCATCAGCAGAGGACACCTCCGGCAACACCGGCTGAGTTCGCCTCTCCTCAAGCGACATCGACGACACGTGGACACCTTCCACAATGGCGAGGTGCGATTCCGTAAAGTGGACAACCTCGTCGGCGACATGGCGGCACTAGGCCTCGCATGTCAAACTCCTCGACGATCGTAGCCGCTCCTTGTCAAGCCTGAGGAGCCGCCCACGTTCACGCAGTCAAGCGCGACGCCAATTTACGACGGGCGTCTTTGGAGGAGATGCAAGCGATTGAGAAGAACCGGACTTGGGAGCTAGTTGATCCGCTTTCGCATGTTGCCGGCCGATTGAGCTCAAATGAGTCTACAAGGTCAAGTGGACGACGCGCGGGCGCCATCGTCAAGCACAACGCTGCCTTGTTGTTCGAGCTTCGTCAGCGAGAGGGCATCTACCGAGAAGGTTTTTGCGCTGGTGGCGGCATGGAGTCGATCCGCTTGCTGCTGCTGGCCATGGCGTGGTGTGAAGGACCGTCGCGGCACC